CTCAATCATTTGAATTCGTGTCTATGAACCTACACCACTTTCCCGACGTATTGCTGATCCGGGAACAATGATACCGTTTATTGACGTGGACCAAACATACATTGATAATCCCTTAGAAAATCCAGGTATATATAGATCTAGATCCCTGGTCATCAAAAGACAGCTGCCGTGCAATATTCCTTTCTCCTCATCTTATCGCGTGACAATGAACATAACCTGATTGACATACCGCCATCAGTATATAACTGTAATCTCAAAATAGCTACTAACAGGAAAACGAAATTATAAGCCGTATTTGTGATAGGGTGATGGTGTCGATCGGCATGTCCGATGGTATAGACTGGACATCGGCTACTGCCTGGGAATTATTGTGGTTATCAACCGTGTTTGATCAGGACGGACAGGGATCAAAGGTTGCTTCAACTGACAGGTAGAAATGGAGAGCAATCTGCACGTTTTGTGTTCTTTAGATGTTGATCATTCATTGCATGTTGTTATTAATCGTCTTATCGCTGTTATTTGCTTTATTGAACGCTGAGTTACAGACTACAGTGATAAGCTAAAGGTGACCGATAATATTGCCATCTGTGGGTTCTTTCACACGATTGCGAACAAGTACGAAAATGACGTTTTTTTTAAAATTCAGCTTGTCCTTTACCCACTTGGTCGGTTTAGTGCGTGTATTTTCAGTTTCCAGTACCCCCTCCCATTTCATTAGGTGCATGCAGAGTTACCCCCCTTAGGCGTGCAGGAAACCTATAGATGATTCTGAATCTCGTCCTGATTATCATGTTTCTGCGTTTGCACCGTATGTGCTCATGACTTGTCTTAGGCACGCTTGACTTCCACTTCCCTGACATAGGGCTGATACGCCCTGGTGTAGCCGGCTTCCCTGACATAGAGCTGATACGCCCTGGTGTAGCCGGCAAAAACCGACGTTAAAGCAAATTCACTGATTCAATGATCCGTGCTATATGTAATAGACCTTTTGAAAGTCGAGAGTTCGAGAACTGGATTCTGCCTTCACCAGACGCAATAAGCCATTATTATATATGACGATAACTAGGTCAGCCTTCTCCAGGAATACATTCATGTCCCCAAGCTAGCATGTATCCATTGGGTTTGTTTAATATTGATTAATATTCTATGACAATACTATTAAGCTATGAAAAAAGTCATTTCACTTCCACTCTTGACAAGCATTGTTAATGAAAATTGATCATTTTTCTGCGAGATCAAATATTTGTCAATGAGATATTCTCTTTGCTATTTCTAACAGAAACACGGTAAGGGTACTGACAGAGGTAATGTTTTTGCAAGTTATTGATAAAAGATTATTATCGAGGCGTTAATAAATAGGTTCCTGTTAATTACCGATTTCAAATACGTTACAGCACAGAATTCAAATTGAACATCCAAGATGTAGGTCTTTCGGTCACAGCGCAGTTTGTGGGCCAACTGTACGATGACCTTGACCTTCACACGCGGGTGATGCTTCCGGTAGGGGTTTAGGATACGAACCGGGTGTCATCGCTGGTCGTTCGGACTGCTCAAGTAGAAAAAAACATGCCTCTATGTTGTTATTTGAATAGCCCCTCATTTTCATGCAGATAGTGTTGTTGGGGCGCCGGGTCTTACGTGTGTTGACTACGAGGTAGACTAACGCTTAGTCATCATTTTAATAGAAACGAATAGCACCATTTAAATTGGAAAACCTCAGGAAAACCTAAATTTGCTTGATTCAGGGCTCTTGCTTTGCAGAGTGTGCTTGGGGAAGGGAAACTAATGCGGTTCAGTGACCGTGAGACATACATACAACCAAGCCAACTACTAGGTTTTCATTCCCTATGAAGTACAATTGGTTATATCTACATGTTCCCCAGCCGTTACAGATCCATGGAGACCCAGGTTAAAATTGGTCTTGAGCAGCCCATGCTTGTAGGAGGCGACAAGCGGGATCTGGTGGTCAGACTCGCTGACGTGATTGGGTGTCTTCGTATTCCATTTGCGTAGATCTATGCTCATACTGTTGATCACTGGATTGTCTGGTCCAGACTCGATTGTTTACAGACCGCCGCCATATGGCTGGAATATTGCTGAGTGCGGCGTAAAACTAAACTCACTCACTCACTCTTGCTTTGCAAAGTGTGCTGGGGGAAGGGAAACTAATGCGGTTCAGTGACCGTGAGACATACACACAACCTAGATAACTACAGGGTTTCGATTCTTTATCAAGTACAATCGGTTATATACACATGGTTCATCTAAGACGTGTGTGTCATTTTACTAATAATGTATTGGTAGCCATCAAATTCGGCATGAATCAACGTCAACATATGTCGTCTCACGAGAGGCCTTGGCGGTCAGCCCTTCCTACAGTCTGGATCAAAGGTCAACACAAACCCTGCTTGAGGGAGTAACCATGCTATCAAACATCCTGCCCTTCGACCCAGACCATTGAGTCTATACTAATTATTTCCCAACGTAATCCAAATTGCAAAGTGGTATACCTTCTAATGGGACCTCGTTATCGTCACCTGTTACTCGTTACTCCATGTTGGGATACGTTGATTGTGACGGTATGTCATATCATGAACAGACGTAACTTCAGATCGTCAGATTTTTGCTGCGTCACCAGTGCTCTTTTCCCGAATGTCCATCGTACTTTTGGACTTTAAAGGCGGAATTAGAATCGTTTGTTACTATAGTGGGGCTGTGGGATAGTATATGTGCTAAAGTGTTCGCATGTTACACCACAGGCGTGAGTTCGATTGACCACGTGGGTTCCATGTGTGAAGCCAGTGTCTGGTTTCCCCATTGTGGCATTGCTGGAATATTGCTAAAAAACGGGTTAAAACCATTCTCTCTCAATCACTCTTACTTCGTACCTGCAACAAATGGGACTGCATCTATATTCCTACAAAATGCTGAAATGCATTTATCAGCCAGCTTTCGTGAAAATGAATAGAAATCATGCAAATCAAATAAATGTTTCATTCATTCTGATTAATGGATTTGGGGCACACAAATTATACAAAACATACGTGTGATCATACATAATAACTACATTGGCATCAACGGTAATCGAGACACGCATAAACTATAAAAATAATTCAACCGAGGAATTGCTGAACGTTGGTTGGTTTTATAGTTTTAGGGCGACGCTTGCTGAACGTTGTATGTGCACGATTTATCTCCCTTTACGATCAGACTTAATTTCAATGAAAAATAGTTTTAAATGATTTCATTAAGTGTTACAAATTGGGTATATCATCCACTCGACGTGGCCATCAATGAAAATGAACAATGATTGTCAGTAACTAGTTATAACACTAGTTTTTTCACAACGGCGCGGAAACTCACAGCTCTAAAAGCAAAGCAGCATACGGTTGTCATATCCACTTAGCAACAATCCGGAGACAATCACGATCTTCCTGGGCGTGAAAATCCGACTGTAGCACTGCATTACATGAATGGAAGCTGAGTGTTTCAACATGCTAACACCGCCCCTGTCCACATCCATTAGTCATACATGAGTAGACAACCTTCACAGCCTGGTTGTCTCGGCACGGCTTGCAGCATTGGGTAATAAAGAGGCTAATCAGATCGATATTTACAATAGTATTGGTCAAGGCCATCGAAACACGCTAGGTGATACAATATTTATATCAGTGGAATTTATCAGTATATATTTTTTTTATTTATTTATAAAATTGTATCAGTATATTTTGTCATATATATCTTTTTTTACAATAATATGATTTCAACCGTGATGTGCACCGTTTGCTCATAAACATTGTGTACAGTTGTAAATCTTTCTGAAAATCCCAATGACTGCTATTGAGTAAATAGATCTGTTTTGAGTTGAAGCCATCGACTGTTTGCATTTGGCGTTTCACTGAAGCAAGACGTGTCATTGTAAATGGAATAGAAACATCCCATTGTAGTACCACTTACAGATGACCCAAAGAATCAATAAATCTATTGCGCCAATATAGCCGGTCAAAGTAATATTGATTGTTCCATATGATCGTTATGACAAAAAATGTTACAAAATGCTTGAACAAATGGTAAGTAATGGTTGTACAAGTTGGACATCCAGGATTAATCATGCATGACATGTCTATAGATTCGGATTTGTTCAGGCTGTTCGAAATGAAACGGTTCTAGAAAAGGAGGTTAACTGAAAATTCGAATCACCAAGATTGGCAAGTAGCATTAACGCATTTCCGTTTCTGACTCATATAGTCATCTATGTGTGTATTATATAGAGGTATTCTTGTTTAGAGAAGATCTGTTCTCAAAAACAAGCAGTAGAAACTGGTATATTGGAGAAGCTAGAAAGGAGAGATTGTGTAATATCTGCAAACTGCCATGTACAGGGGTTGAATAGCATTTCTTGTTCGTTTATAATAAATATCAAGCACTTTAACATTCCTTTAAAACGTTCTGAATATCCAACAATCATTAAACTTAACGTGCTTATACTATCAACAAATGCAATTATCTGAAAGCATTTATGAGGTTATATATATTAAGCTTGGTGAGACTTTCTTCATTATAGTATATACTTTATATGTTATTTACTTTCTTATTCTGAACACATCAATGCGTAACTTGGGCATATGGGCTATATTACTTCTGAATAAGCTATGAACTCGGATACAACTACAAAGAAACTGGTCGAAGTTTTATTGATTGCCTAAATCACTTCGGGGAAGTATGTAGACGGTGTATACGTTGTTTGTCAGACAGTGTTAAAGACAGATTCCGATCACATATATTGTTCATTGCTACACACATCCAGACGCTATAGAGAGAAACCGCTAGGAATTTGGGATACATTGAGTTAACGTAAAATTGCTACATTGATATGGATAATATCATTTAAGTTAATCGTGTTTTACCGAACTGAATTAAACTTGCTTACACTGTCAAAAACGCCAAGCTTTCTATTTCTATTGTCGATTCGATTTCTATTGTCCTCCGTCTGTTTTCAGATCTGTCCCGTAGCCCTGAGGAGGAGCTTCAATACCTCAACACCACCATCGTCGGCATACAGAGGTGGCTCCGGCGGAAGCAGGACGACCTCAAACGTGTTTACGACGGCGGCCACGAGGACTGCGAAATATCCAGACTGGTCACCATACAGGTAAGAGGCTGACAATGGTGTGACAATGATATGACAATGTCATGATGGTGTTGGAGTGTCTGAGTGAGAATGGTTTTACGCGCCGCTTTCAGCAATATTCCAGCAACTTCACGGCGGGGGACACCAGAAATGGGCTTCACACATTGTACCCATGTGGGGATCGAACCCGGGCCTTCAGCGTGAAGAGCGGACGCTTGAACCACTAGGCTATCCCACCGACCGATAGTGTTGGAGATGGAAGTGTAACTTCGAATTGGACAGAACCACATACGGGTCGTGTGGTCAGGCACATAGGACGTATTCACAGTGGCATTTGTATGTCAGTAGAGTTTGACAACAGAGTTATCTCCCCGTGACATTTATCTGACATCGGTAACACACTGAGCTAGTCGTTTGATCTTCTTATGACGCATTATCCTTATGTAGGCATGCCCTGACTGATATAATATATATCACTTTAGAAATTTCTAAAAAAAAACAAATTAAAAATGTGCACGTGACACAACACTTTTTTACGCCTAGTATATTATACGTAATCACATCTCACCAACAATATCAGCGGACTACTTCAAAGGTACTTTAATGAGTATAATGTTGTTCATGGTTATAGTAATATTCACATTGTTTTACATAATCCATATCAGGTCATCAGGTTAACCCCGTGATCCACGTCTGTCGCCGGTAATAACAGCTCGCATCACTCCAGGAGATTATCACTTGTATCACACGGCTCAAGTACTGGACATTTGGGGCAGATTTGTAAATCCGGGAACAATGAGCTGTACCCAAGCTTGGACATATGTAGCGATAAGTCGTTCACGTGACACAATGCCTATACGTTTATATTACAATTACAGCACGTCTGTATAACATAATTGCTGCCCTTATGCTATCTGGTCATCTTTATGTGACCACAGAGGATATGAGGTGTTGAAGAATACCACCATGTACATATGACCTTCCATGGAATGTTCTAAATATAGATGGGTATTCATATCTCACACAGGAAGACAGTTGACAGTTCTTCCATGCCAGTACTTACGTTTTAGGCTTCTTTACTGCCCTCTCTGTGTGTGTGTGTGTGTGTGTGTGTGTGTGCGTGCGTGCGTGTGTGTGTGTGTGTGTGTGTGTGTGTGTGTGTGTCCTAGTGGTTAAAGCGTTTGCTCGTCACGCCGAAGACTCGGGTTCGATTCGGTCGGTACAATGTGTGAAGCCGATTTCTGGTGTCCCCCGCCCTGATATTGCTGGAATATTGCCCAAAGCGGCGTAAAACTAAACTCACTCACTCTAAACTGCACTGTTTACAAAAGCAACAATTTGATGTGGAGTGATAATTCTTGTCTTTTGTTATTAAAACCTGCACGATACGAAATGTACACAATATTAAATGTCACAAACGCCCCCAGGAACCACTGTTTCGCAACAGAGGTGACTGTCATCATCTGCCAATTGCGTGGATCGACGCTAAAGATGTCAATCACTGGAACATCTTTATGCAGTATGTTCAAGACACGAGCTCTTCTTCGTCTTCCACGATTTTTGTACAGTGTGTCATGGCAACAACAGTTGTCCCCTATCTCCTGTCTATTCTTAGATACAGATCCTCGACGAAGCTATTTCGCACTGCAGGTTTATCAAGCCTGGCTGACACGTTGCTTTGTTTCCGTGTTAACTAATCAGCGCATCTTATTTACTCAGTGCTCAGTGCATAGCTTCCACTTACACAGGTGTAATCTCCAGCTAGCATCTTCATTAGGATATATGTGACGGGCATATCGCCTCCACAGACGCGTTACGCGGTACATGTTAATAATAGTGGTGCATCTTCAGGAAAAACTAGGAAATGTATTTTACAACAAACGTGTCCGTGTTTATTAGAAAACCAAAGCAACCATAGTACTTACATCCACCTGACAGTGCTATTGAAGTTCCTAAGTGGGGGGAGGTAGGGTTAAAGCGTTCGATCGTCACGCCGAAGACCCGGGTTCGATTCCCCACCCGGGTACAATGTGTGAAGCCCATTTCTGGTGTCCCGCAGATATTGCTGGAATATTGCTAAAAGCGGCGTAAAACTCGCTCGTTCCCAGGTGTGAATAGGTCACCGATCACTTGACTTATGAAAAGGCAAGGCCATATCTCGGAACTGAAAGCACTCATGTTTGTCTATCTGCCCATTCTTCAGGAATTCGTCCTTGTAAATGTACATAACAAATACTTATCTGTTTCTCCAATCTTCCCTCGCCCGTGTAAACATATGCCGCACCTATTTCACTGTCTGTCCGTGCGCCCGTTAGTACGTTTTGTTCTCTATGATGTGTGTGTGTGAATATGTTTATGACTACAAAAACATTTCATAGGTTAAGAAACCAATGAAGGTGAGCTTCTGTACCTGTTGTATTCTACACGTGTGTGAGTGAGTGAGTTATTTTGGTTTTACGCCGCTTTTAGCAATATTCCAGCAAGATCACGGCGGGGGACACCAGACATGGGCTACACACATTGTGTCCATGTGGGGAATCAAACCCAGGGTTTCGGCGTGATAAGCGAACGCTTTAACCACAAGGCTACCCCACAGCCCTTACACGTATGTGAACGTGTCAGAAACTGTACAACGTGAAAACCAGGCAAGTTGGTTTGCAAGTGAAAGTGTTCGTATGGATATAATTCTAGAAGTTATGAAGTTATGACGTCAACTGACTCGAAAGTTGAGACGTAATTCACGCTGGCGTTGACACCGTCTTGGTCTGGGGCGATGCTACACGAACGACGTTTACACACATCACGAAGAAACATATACACGCATCCAACATGAAGGCGGACATGGAAGCGATGAGGGTCAAACAGTAGACTAACATGTAGTCTCTCAAATTAACATTTTACAGAAAAGGGTTCCTTAATTGTAATCATAAAATGTCATGAAAAGAAGACCAGAGACTTTCTTCTGTGGTAATATACATTTGCCACATATTCCCGACTTGCATGGGCTTTCTTTGCTATACATGTATTTGTTTCTGGGTCTGAGATATATGAGTTCCACCTTGGTATATATCACTGCTCGGTAATCCTGGTTTTTTCCGCTCTGCTACTCGTAAACCCCCTTCACACATAGATTTATGATAATGGGTAGGACTCTACTGAAGGCCATGATTCATTTTATGTAATCTGAAGAATTTCGGCGGGATTGTCCAGTATGATTTATCTCTACTTGGAACATATTGTGGGTGTTTTTTCACAATTTAATGACCCAAGTACAATTATTTTAGCTGTGCTTGGTTTACTCCCGTCACATTGCGTTGTGTAATGTCATGTATCACATGAAGTGTACGTTATGTATGTAAATATAAACTTGGAATATAGCTTTAGTTTATAGACATGTTTTACACACCCTTGAACAGTATATAACAGTATTTATATCATGACGTATGTCTGCATGATTTGGGCAAAACTGAGCTACGAACTGACCTCAAGGGGAGGTAATCAGGTCGAAGAAAGGGATTCGAACATCGGATGCTTGTAAAGCTGTAAATATGTACAACGAATAGCGCCGCCAATGAAAACTGGGCTACCGGGCCACCAGTGGCGCCATAAAGATCAAGGTACATGTTACTGTAAAAGCCAGAAAGGTCTCAAAGAAATTCTTAACATCTGTTCGCAATATATGGTGGACATTCGTTTTTAGCTATCCGAACTGCGGCTGTTGACAGGCACATATCATACAGAGGTTACACATGACGAAGATCATTTGGAAATGGATGGTCGTCCCGGTATTTAACCTATGAGTACATAGCTGTAGGTAGCATATGTAACATGGGAATACACTTTCTCAGTAAAGTACTGATTCTAGTACTTTTGTTGGGTTGAGTCCCATCCAACCCAACCAAAGTACTAGAATCAGTACTTTACTGAGAAAGTGTGATCCCCAAATAGCATATGTTACATTTGACCACTTTCAAAATGGCATTGTGTATTCAAGTGACATATGTTAGGTCGAGGTAAAGGAGAAGTAACACTGTACGGGGTAGGTAACTAGGGCAGAATATTCGGGTCAGGTCATCATCTAAACCATAAGAAACAGAAGTGTATGTGATTTATCCGGAACCGCATTAAGTGCATTTATTTAACCGGGGCAGTATGTTAATGCTGTAATGTCAAACAGGGAGATGGGTGAGTTTTCTCCCATAGTGCTATGTAAAGATTTCGCCCAGCGTATAACGCCATCAGCATGCTCACTGGAATCAAACATATTTTCCCACGTGGGATTCGGCGGAGCCAGATATAGAAAACAGCGAACGCGCGCACATGGAATGTTTGTGGAAGAATTATGCCCCAAAGGATTTGATACCCAACTAAATTGATACCAGGTACATCGTCTATGTTTGAATACCAAGAGAATAATCATGTCATCTATATTTACTTTCAACGGTTTTATGTGATTCGAGGAGCTATGTACACTAGTCTTGCAAAAATAATATACAGTATTCTTCTCGTAGTCATTAAAAATATTCTGGGTAATTAATAATATATTTTCTTTGGCAGGTGTTCTCTTCAGCTTGAGTCTGAAATGTATGAAATATTTTAACAATCTTACAAAGTATGCATCTAAACGGTTAGATTGGTATTTGCTAGCTTTTATTACTCTTTAATTGACGGCAATTGCTCCTGGAAATAATACGTCGTTGCGTGACGGTTGTGTCAATATTTTACTCCAAAAGTGGAGCAATACATTCAGGCTTCATTCATCTCCATGTTTGAGTGTAGAGCTCCTGGCCCCTCCCTGATACTTTGCCTTCGTTGATTGGTTAAAGCCCTGTTACATCGGCCAATGAAATGTGCCGTTACTTGTGATGAGATCACCGGCGCTCAATGCGGCCTGACAGCGAGGACATGGAAGAGTACTGTTGATATCAGTACGGTCGTCCATTGTTCACATCGTGGAGTCTCCTCCACGGGTGAATTACTGGCTATAACACTCACGGAATACTCTCAAGGTAAGTGTACAT